TGTTGTACAGCCTTCGCCTCGACGAATGTGAAACCATTTTACCATCTCAAGATCTCCACGCTTGGCCGCATGGTTTAGCACAGCGATGCTGCAACCTTCGGCTTGGAGGTTTGCATGCAACCATTGCAGCATGTGGTGTTCCCTGTTCTCGCTGCGTTGTCGATTACATCGCTTGCCCATGACTCTGGGCATGCACCATGGCGCCATTTAAGCATTTTCAACGAACCATACAGTGAGTGCACACGGGTCTATCAGTGATCCTTCCCATGTTTTAATAGCAATCCTGAAATTGTTACCGGTCACTGCACAGAATATTGCCAAACTTGTACACCCTTCGCCCCGATTTTTGAACAGCCAATGCACAACTATTTCGTGACCTTTTAAAACAGCATCGTCAAAAGCTGTCGAAGTACATCCTTCAGTACGGTTGTTCTGCAATCATATCACAACATTAAGATGGCCATTCTCGGCTGATCTACGTATTGCATCTGTGCTAAACGCGCCACCATGCACAGGAAGCCATCTTACAACATGCAGATGTCCTGCTCCGGCCGCTCGAGCTACACCATCAGGTACTATATGCCCCAAACGAAGAGCTAATGTCTCCATATTTTGAGCACGTCCAACTCCGCACGCTTGAACAACTGCTGCATCTGTTGATGGCACGCCCATATAACCCATTACACTCGCTAACATTCGGGGATCCTCTCGACGAGCGGCGTTAACTACCAACTGTCTGCTTGACATCGTCAATCCGTTGTCACACAGCCACGCAAACATTTCGAAAGTGCCAGAACGTGTAGCGATTTCTAGCATTCTTCCCTCCCAGTAGATCCGTCTACCCTCGTCACGTAATATCTCCAGAAAACGTATATTCCCGCGTCACACCACCTGTAACATATCACCACTAATGCATACCCGCGGAAACATGCTGATGAGGAGGTAAGCGAAATCAAAATCCCCGTCGGCAAGCACAACTTCTAGTGCTACGATAATATCGCTAGCCCGATACAGTTGATGAGACCAATCCATCGCTGTATACCGAAGAAAGTGATGGATCATTCGCTGTGAACGAAAATTGGCCGCCCTCAACAATGTGGCACGAACAGGAAACAGATACCGTTCAATAATTGCTGCTGCAAACTCACCGTTCAAAGCAAGTTGCGTATAATTCACAACAACATGATGTTGTTGTGGATTATTTTATACTCAAAGCAAATTTCAAACTGGATGGCTTATTACTACATGCTCATGTTCTTCGTCCTTTTCGTAGCCTTTTCGCTACCTAACGGTCACTTCAGATGTGTTCTCTTTGATGGTTGTGACTTGCAACTGCTGCTCCCGCGTTCGGTTTGATAGTTATGACTATGAACGCCCACGTGCTTACTGTGATCCATCTAACGCCTGCTTGCGTATTTCCGTTGATCGCTGGGATTCAACTAACGCTCCCATGATTTATTTGATACTTGGCAGTTGTAATTCGCGCATGTTTTTATTTCTAACTGCTTCTCGCTTTGTTCGCTTGGATAGCTGATACGTTAAACAGCTGCTCGCGTGCCATTCGCTGCACCTTTACGAATCAGCCAGTTAGTATAACTGCCTGAGCCTGACGACAAGGACTCCACTGCCTTTCATTCCGCAAAAAAACCGAACTCAGCGCGCAAGGAAGAAAAGCCCAGCGTTTTGGAATCCACGATCACGCCTAGTACTACTGCGTCAAAAGCAAAATGGAGGACGCTATGCGCAGACAAAATTCAAATAAATCCTCGAAGCCAAGTGCGCCCTCTCCATCCAGTACTCGCCAAGCTCAAGATATGCCTTGTATCCCTCCACTTGGAAAACGGTATTCATCGACTGTGACCAGGCGTTCCAGCGGTAGCGATACTAATATTCAAGTCCATCAGGAACCCCCGTCTAAGCTGCGAATTATGAGCACGTCAAACGATACTGTATAATTTGCCAGCGAAAGCTTCTCCCGATGAAACCAAACCAGCTCATGAATGTAATGTTGAGAAGGGTGATGCTGGACAAGGTCAAATCGTTTGTGACACGACCAAAACCGACCCGAGTTTAGTCCCCGGGAAGCACCAACCAGTAGAACACGATGTCGGTCCCTACATCACTTCATCCATTGGCCTTGACACGGCTACTTCCCTCCAACAAAATTCTAAGCCTGAAACGTCAAAGCTACCGGTCGATAAGGTCTCCCAGTTGAACCTGGAACTGAAACCACAATGGAAATTTGCTGGTCGTATTCTCGCTCGCAGTCCTATTAGACATGGCGCAGAAATGACCGTCTTTTCGAAGTTTACGCCACGGAGACAAACAGTGACATTTTAAGAACTACCATTTTCAACGATGGCGTGGACGAGTTCTACGATAAATTTAACGCCTGGGACGGTTTGCTCATTTTTCAACGGCCGCATCAAGACATCAAATTCTGCGTTTGCTCGTTCTATTGCTATTGACCTCACGTTTGGAGGAGACTCGCAAATTTTACGAGAAAAGGACAACTTTTGGCGTACCCTGAACCTTCCTTCACGGTTACAAGTCTCTGTGCCATCCCCAGTCTACTTCCTGAAGCTGCTCCCACGGTAGTTGGAGCCATCACTAAGATCGCTGCACTGAAGCCTGTCTCTACCCGAAAAGGCAAATCCACGGTCAAGCGCAATTTCCTCCTAGTTGACGACTACAACGCTGAAATTTTATGCACTGTATGTGTAGTGGGGCTAGGGCTCACTAGTTAGCTTACACGTGTACGCACGTGTAGGAGCAAGCGTAGGTATTCCTAGATAGTATAGTGTACACACGGTACGTGTGTACAGTAAGACTAGATAGGAACAAAATAGCATAAATTGAAAACTGTTATTGTTTGTTTAAAGTGTTTCCTTCCTAAAATGATTATCAAATATCTAAGGGACTGTCAGCGAGTGGTTGACAGTGATTCGCATCGCTGATTGGTAGAGGTGTGGCGCACTCTACCAATAGGATCCCTTCAAATGCAGTCTTGGTGTGTTCATACACCAAGACAGGAAACCTCTAGCTCTAACCGGTTAACGTTACGGTTAGAGTTACGTGTAACCCCGTTACACCGCCACCCCTCGTTAAGATTTGACGTGCTGGTCTCAACACGTCAATCCAAGCCTTGACGAGTTCGTCAAGCCTCCGAGAAAACTCCGCGCTCATTTCGCAAAGAGCGCCTCACTGCGCAAACCAGCGTCTATGCCAGTGTCCGCGTCGACCGTAATGTCGACGCTAACATCCGCTCCAATGTCCGCTACGACATCTGTGGCGACGCCTGCGGCTATTCCCGCGCCCGCGCATGTGTCGGCGGTAACGCCGACACTTCCGAGTGCAACGACAGAGAAGAACTTCTCTGACGAAGTACTTCGAGCTTCAAGGGAATAAGCTCAAGTTCGAAGCGAAGCAGCGCGCCGGGGCCGCGAAGCCAGACAGTCCTAGGACTGTCTTCGATGATTCGTTGGTCCTCTCGACCGACGGTGGTACCCCTGTTGACTACGAGGATGGAGAGTTTGAAGGCGAGGGCACCTGTCGCTCGAATCCAAGCTTGCGGCTGGGACTCGCCGCCCTTGCGAAGATGATTCGGACGCTTCCTCCTCGAAGCGTCCGCGAAGTCCAAGTGATACAGTGCCTTCTAGACTGGAAGCGCTTACCATCACCTCGAAGCAGAGTGATGCCACGCGCACTGACGACTCAGTGGGCGAACCTTGGATGCCGTCCGAGAGCGTTATCAAGGATCGATACGGGAACATGGTTCCTCCGAACGAGATACCGTTATACGTCGACAATCGAATTGTCGACGAAGCTGAAGCTGCTTCGAAGCACTTCGAGCCAACGACGAACCAAAGGCGAGATTACTACATCACGCTTTTTCACGAGCTCCGGTACTGGAGCTCGAAGAAGACTTCGGGGCGAAGCAGAGTGCCCGAGTGGCAGGCATTCTGTCAAAGCTGGAACCAGTTTGTTGCGAACTTCAACAAAGATCAGGCAGCTTATCGCGAGCGGATTGCTTCTGCTCGTGAGCGCTTCATGAAGTATTCCATTACTTCTGTCGTCCAGCGTGTTCATGAAGGTTCCGTGACTGCGAACTTTCTTTGTGCAGTGCCGGTGGGCGTTCATTGCCCGCACTGCCCCATTGGTGCTCCCCGCATCAGTGAGAGAGACCTCATCGGGTACACGACTAACCGTGTACCCGCAAACGCTAAGAAGCTACGTGGTAAGTTCGCTTGCACACGTCAGCATCCTAGTGTTGTGCCTGAGCACAACACTCCGCAGTGTTACGCCTCCAGTCCGTGGTGGGCTTCGTACGACTTCACCATTTCCGGAACGTCCGTCATCAGGACGTTTCGGGGAAACCACGTATCTCGAAGGAGACCCGATTGTCTCCAACGAATACGAAAACGAACCGGACCTCGGTTCGTCTTCGGACTGGTGTGGTCAACAATCTGATCCACCTCGCGGTGGATCGTACCGCGGACAGAGTTATATTTCTATCGGCGGTGCCGGACCCTCACCATATGATCAATACCAGGTTTACCATGGACTTCAGGCGCTCCACGCTCGCGTGAAGGCTCTTGAGAGTGTTCAGGCTGCTCAGATCGCTGAGCTGAAGCAAGAACTGAACGTGCAGAAGGCCTACGTGGCCGAAACCGCCCAGACCACCTCCAACATCCGTGTTGAGGTGTTGGAACACGTTCGCCTTCTCCAGGAGAAGGTGGAGAGGCTTGAGGAGAAGTTGAGGGCGCGCCGCGCGTCGTCGGCGGTGTGTCGTCACGACTAGATGACTCGGGCTGCCGTTATGGTTTCAATTGCCCAACGTAGAACGTTGGGTGGAGTCTCATGTCGGAAGGAAGTTCCAACGTGTATGCGCTGCCGTGGCGTTCTGTAACTTTGAACGGCCCAATGAAGCGCGGAGCAAGCTCGCTTGCTCCGAATCCAGAAACGGCATGAGTAGGCAAATTTTGCGTAGATAACAAAACCTATGAACCAATTTTGAATTCATTTGTATTACCCCTGCCAACATTGTCTGTGTTCAGCTTCTGCCTATCCGCAGAAGCTGCAATTACATCTTGTACGAATCGAACGACTGCTTGTCGTTCGTGGACAAAGTCCATTGCTTGAGAGCTGAACCCTGGGTTCAGCTCATTGGTCTTGTCCGCGTCTGTGCCCTGCACTGACCCGCCATTTGTGTTCGCATCAGTCCCCGACTGTGCGTGGATCTTTGTGGTGTCAGTGCCTGGCGCTGACACGTTGTGTGTGATCGCAGCAGGCCCGGCCTGTGCATGAAACTTCTCAGACACGTTGTCCTTGAACGAAGCAGGTGTCGCCTGCTCGTTGTTCTTCACAGTGTCAGTGCTCGGCACTGGCACGTCGTCTTGTCGTGTGCGGGCTCTCGCTCTCGCACGTGTCATCGCAGCTGCTAGAACCGTATCGGCTGTATTCTGCGGTTGTTCGTGCACAACCGTAGATCCTCCCCCACTTAAAGAGGAATCCACCGCCCCGAGTGTACTCGGAAGGCGTGGATACCGTATGGCGTTCACGAAGAACGGTGTATGCCCAGTCGTGGCATGCACCGCGTTGTTGATGGCGAACTCGGTCATCCGGCAAGAAGTCGCTCCAGTTGTGGAACGACTGGGCGTAGCCTTTCAGCAAGTCCACGAGCACGCGATTCACGCGCTCGGTTTGCCCGTCCGTCTGCGGATGATCCGCAGTCGACATTGAGAGCTGCGTTCCAAGAAGTGTGAACACTTCTTGCCAGAAACGCGCCTTGAAGCGCGGATCGCGGTCCGACCCAAAGTCGTTGGGCATGCCATGGTGTTTGAACACCATGTCGACGAACTGACATGCCGTCTGTACAGAAGTCACCTCCGCTGCGACAGCAGCGAGATGCACCATCTTGCTGAAGCGGTCCACAAAGGCCACGATACCAATCTTCCGCCTGGAATGGCGCAGAAAACCAAACACGTAGTCCATCGAAACGGACTCCCAACACTCCGACGGAGTCGGCAGTGGTTGCAGAAGAGCCTGCGAGTGATGTGCAGGCATCACTCGCTGGCAAACATCGCAAGTACGTACGCACATGCGCACCCACTTGTACCGGTGGTTCCAGTAGAAGTCTCTCGTGAGAAGAGAATACGTCTTCTCACGTCCCGGATGTCCAGCCGTGGGGACATCGTGATACTCGGACATGATCCTGCTGCGCAGGTCAGGATCATTCGGCATGACAATGCGGAACGCATTGTCGTCTACAGCGCTGTAAAGCAGTAGACCGCCGTGCTCACGATACCGGTGAGCACTTCCTTGTAGACGAGGGGCCACCTTCCGACGTGCTTTGTCGGAAGGAGCTGAGAGGAACTCGATCAGCTGCTTCGCGTCTGCGTCATGCGCATACGCGGTCTTCACCTCGTTCAGCAAGGATGACGACGGTGTGTATGTCCGAGCGACGTCAATCCTGTTGACGTCGCTCATGCCCACCACCATGTCGAACTTGTCGTCCAAGTCCAGGACGAGAAGTTCTTCTACTTAACACCCGGTGTTTGTACGAGAAGCGGGCGCGAAGCACGCGCTTCTCGGTCTTAACGATGGCACCCGTTGCCAATCGTACTTCCAACTGACTTCGAGACACATGCTTCTCCTCGAAGTCCAACAACGGTAGACTTTGCTGTCGAACAAAGTTGCTCGACACGCCCGAGTCCACCAACACCCGAAGAGAGTCCACTCTCTTCGTCATCGACTTCACCTTTAAGATGACAAAGTTTGGCATGTCATCTAGTACTTCGAAGTGAGATTCTCTCTCACTGGGGGCTGCAGTTCTCAATACCGCGTGTCCGTTGTAGACACGCGTGGTATTACCAGTAGGGCGCCCCGCGCCTACTGGTCCTTTGCGTTTTTGGTTCGACCGTGACGATACCCAGTATCGTCACGTCGACATTGGCTTGAGTGTACTGGTGCCGTAAACTCACGTGCGTAGTGACCCATGTTTCCGCACTGGAAGCATCGCACGTTGCTTTCCTTGTTCTTCTGCTGTCCGACAGCAGGTGTATACGAAAGATCCATTGGTTCAGGACATTCCGTCTTTGCAGCCGGTCGAGGCGGTCGTGGCACGTTCGTGTGCAGTTTAGCCTGTTTCAGGCCTAAACTCCTCTTGCATTGGGAGAGTAATCGCAGCTTCGAGAGTACTCAGGTACTCTCGGAAGAGATAGGTCTTCATAGGCCCCTCTTCCAACCCCTTCATGAACGTGACGACCTTGGTCGCCTCGTCCACCGGGTCTGTCACGACGTTCGAAACCAAGTACCGAGCCCGTTGGGCGTCAGCATGTACATCAGGCTTACCTTGTTGTAGGTCGAGAAACTCCGCTCTCGATCGGAACTCGTTCTGTGGGGGCTCAAACGCGAGTTTGAGCTCCTCCTTGAAGGACTCGTACGTGCTGAAGCACGTTGGATCAGTGAGTCGGCGCCCATAGGCCCAACTCCTCGCGCGTCCACCAAGACAAGACATTGCGAAGGCGGCCTTCGCCAATGGGTCAACGAGACGTCGAGCCACTACGGCAGCGTCAAGTTCGACAAGCCAGCGGAGGAGGGTCTCGCCTTCTCTGCCCATGTAGTTACTGACACGTAACTTCAGGTATTCCTTCCGCGGTGTCTCCCCCGGAGACACCGGCTTTGCACCATAACTAGATCTCTGGAAACCGCGTCCGCGGAAGCAACCTCGCGTTGCTCTTTCGTGACGAATCCCAGAGCAACTTCATGTTGCTCTGTCGGCGATAGCGTGCGCAGTATTGTCGCTACGGCCGCCTTCCCAATGACTGTTGACAGTTGTTGGAGCACCTCCCACTCTGGTTCCGCCAGGTGGTGGCAGTCGGTACGCGCCACGTGCGTAGCAGACGTGCTCGGTCTTCCGACGGACGACCCGTCCATCGGAAGGTTCTCTTGGCCGTGTTCGTAACTCATACGAATAAGGTGGTCGGTCGTTGAACGGACTACAAAGTGTTATCAGGTGCAGTGGGCCTAGGACTCACTAGTTAGCTTACACGTGTGCGCACGTGTAGGAGGAAGCGTAGATATTCCTGGATAGTATAGTGTACACACGTACCGTGTCTACAGTAAGACTAGATAGGAAAAAGATAGCGTAAATTGAAAACTGTTGTTGTTTGTTTAAAGTGTTTCCTTCCTAAAATGATTATCAAATATCTAAGGGACTGTCAGCGAGTGGTTGACAGTGATTCGCATCGCTGATTGGTCGAGGTGTGGCGCACTCTACCAATAGGATCCCTTCAAATGCAGTCTTGGCGTGTTCATACACCAAGACAGGAAACCTCTAGCTCTAACCGGTTAACGTTACGGTTAGAGTTTCGTGTAACCCCGTTACAGTACGGGTCAGAGCGCTCAACTACTCGTTGAAGAATCAAAAGGTCAAGTTATCATTCTCCAGGATGCTCAAGTCTCGGACTACCTGAACGTGCGCTCAGTTAGCGCGGGCCTAGGAACCAGTATGCTCCACGAACCAGCCATTCGCCGCTCGTCCGAGTTGACTAAGTGCTATTCCACCGTTCCCCCCGATCACGTGTTTCACTTCGCTTCACGGCCGAGGCCCCTCAATGAGTTAGCTTTTGATTTTACTTTATTCTGGTCGTAGGGAACGACAATAATTCGTATTTTGTGTGTGTTGTGTAGCTTCAGTGTATTTTCAGTATTTTGGTCCTATAAAATATAGCAGGGGCAGGTAACAGATACTTGGTCACAAGCAGGCCCTGCGCTATTTGACACTCTGGCTTGCCCAACTAAACCAATAATAGTCATTCTTGCATCTTAAACGCTTTTGCCACTCCGACAGGGCCCAGACGTCGGGCGCAACCTTCTTCTTACGAAACGGCGACTACCTTCTTATCCACAGGGTATTGTCAGTAGCTGAAGGCTTTGTTTTGCGTTAGTCACATCTTCCATTAGTTACTTCCTGCAGAACCGTGATTGCCGTCTTATCCGGTCTTGCCAGTGGCGGGAGGGTTCGTTCAACGTCAGGAGTATGCAGGACATTCGACGGCACGATATACCGTAGTAGGCTGAGGCATCCATTTTCTTGCCACCCTCAGCTAAACAAGATGATGCTTAAGATCTATCTACCGCCAACGGTTGTACTGATACAGAACCAGTAATGATCAAGCAAATTCGGATATGATGTGCCGGTTGTTGAAGAGCCTGTGCGAGCTGCGCCAAGCCTCTCGAATCTGGAAAGAGATATTGAATACTCTTCTTGTACGCACCGAATTTATTCGACTGGACTCAGACTACGAGATGTACGAGCTAAATCTTTATCCCCCAAATCGTCTACCGGTAGACTCTCCATCCTACGGGTAGGCTCAACCGAAAAGTTAGTTTTCCAGGAATAGAAG